AGTGGTGCATGCTCTAGTTATCTCTCGCTTGGACTACTGCAATGCACTCTACGTGGGGCTACCTTTGAAGGTGACCCGGAAACTACAACTAATCCAGAATGCGGCAGCTAGACTGGGGACTGGGGGCAGCCGCCGAGACCACATAACACTGGTCTTGAAAGACCTACATTGGCTCCCAGTACGTTTCCGAGCACAATTCAAAGTGATGGTGTTGACCTTTAAAGCCCTAAACGGCCTCGGCCCAGTATACCTGAAGGAGCGTCTCCACCCCCATCGTTCTGCCCGGATGCTGAGATCCAGCACCGAGGGCCTTCTGGCGGTTCCCTCATTGCGAGAAGCAAAGCTACAGGGAACCAGGCAGAGGGCCTTTTCGGTAGTGGCGCCCACCCTGTGGAACGCCCTCCCATCAGATGTCAAAGCGATAAACAACTACCTGACATTCAGAAGACATCTGAAGGCAGCCCTGTTCAGGGAAGTTTTTAATGTGTGATTTTACTGTATTTTTGGTTTCTGTGGAAGCTGCCCAGAGTGGCTGGGGAAACCCAGCCAGATGGGCGGGGTACAAATAATAAATTATTATTATATATTATTATTTATTTAGCATTATGTATAGATAAAGCCACTCCCTTCCTTTTTTTAATTTATCCAGATTTTGGTCCTTTCTGTGTTTGGCTGTATACTTTTCAAATGTGCCAAGTGTTTAGGATATCTTTGACACACATGGGCCTTCTAATGCAGCAGTGGGCAGTTGTTCAGATGCTGTTCTTACATATTGGCAAGCTGCAGATTTCTAGAGCAGCTACCCATGGTTGGCTGAGCAGTTTTCAAGGATGGCTGATAATGTCTGAATGGAAGCTCTGACCCCCTTGTTGTTGTTCTTGGCACATGCCTGTCTCGGGAGACAATGGAACAATGCCCCTTCAGGGGGTAAAGCCAAGCCATTGGAAAGTTACAACACCTGTTGTGGCTGTAGAGACTGATATGGGACAGATAGGCTTTATTGCAGGTGGGGCAGATGACAGCATCCAGTTTTGCTACTACTACAAGTGCACCATGGCATCTCTTCTCTCTGTGCTCCTTCCAGCAGTCATTCCTCCTCTGGTCACTGCTGGGGATACACAACCGGACGGTCTGTCTCCAGGTATTGCAATCGTCTGCAAGGGATTCCCATATGGCAGGGTTAATGTTGCCAGCCTTCATGTTACGTTTGCAGACATCTTTGTAACACAGAGTTGGTCTGCCAACAGACCTAGCGCCTGAGACCAGGCCTCCATAAAGCATGTCCTTGGGGATGCTGCCATCTTCTAAGCCAGCCTGGACATCTCTAAGAGAGAAGTGCAAACATGCTGGGAATATGGGCTTGAGACTCTGTCCTGCCATGTGATGCCCAAAAACTTCCTGACACAGCACATATGGAAGGCATTGATGCATCGCTCCTGTCATGTGTAAGTTGCCCATGACTCACTTCCATAAAGCAGCATGCTCAACACACAAGCCTGGTAAACCTTCATCTTTATATTAAACATTAGCATTTTGGTGAGGTGAGCCATTTTCATAGCCACCTTGCGAATACGTTTGTCCAGCTCAATGTCAATGGAGAGGTTGCTGGTTATGATGGAATCCAGGTTGACAAAATTGTCTACCAACTCAAGCACATGGTCACCAATGCTGGTGTGTGGAGTGCCAGGATGTTGGTCTTTGTTAGGCTGATGATGAGGCCAAACTCATAGATGAAATATAATAAATTCTGGAACTATCAGACACTGGGCATGCAATAATTCTAAATCCTCTACAGGGATCACTCATACAATTCGAGGGCTGAGTACATAAGCCTAGTCCTAAAGCAATATACACATTCTGCAAATATTTATGAATCTATTTCAGTTTAGAAATCTGTTTTGGCAGGTACACTGGATCTGAGTAGGAGTTCCACAAAACAGAAATATGGGAAGAGAGGCATTTGCTCCAGTGAACCAAGGGGGAAATGGCATTTATTTATTAGACTGGATTGGTAAAAAGGCCCAATGCGTAAGTTTTAAGTAATAACATTTGCAAGAATTATATAACAAAACTAGGTGATGTGAAAGAATATGAAAGGAAGCAAAGGTTACTGTAATAATATTACTATACTTAGCATTTCTGAGAGATATGCATTATCTTCTCAAACATTAAGATTTAAGGGCTTGTTTGCATTAGAACTTGGCGCTATGAGTATCAAACATTGCCCTTGAAATAATCCATTACTATCCTAGTAATATTCTACACATTGGCCTGCTTTAATTGTTTATCTGAAAACAGGATGTTACACAACATAAGCTTACATTGGCTGACTGCAAAAGTAAATTATGAGTTCTAAAGTACATTAGGAAAAAACATGACCTGATTACAGCTCTTTGATTCAGATTCAGATGTAGATGGTAGCATGGAGGTACTTTTGCAACCTACAAGATAAAACTGAATCATTCTTTGGGCAAGGCAAATGTTTACAAAAATCTTACTGTTTATTTTTGAGTTGTACAATAAAATTGTCATTAACAGCCTGAGCTATGCTGTTTTCCAAACTATTTGGCCACCAATTTGCAACCCTTTACGTATATTTTTCATTATATATATATAATTATTCCTGCTGAACTAAAAACAAAGATATGCATAACTTAAAACTGTAGATATATATGGAGTCATGAATCAGGAGATCCCTGATTCAAATGTAGTCTACCTTTCTACAAGCAGCACATTTTATAACACTGCTTGCACATATTTCCTCTTTGTGTCTAAAAGTTCATTTTGTGGTTTGGGTAGCCACTGAAGAAGTGAAGTACACAGGACTTTCAAATGTTGTTATACTATAGGTCCCATCACACTGGACTATGCTGTCTGGGGTTGATGAGGATTGGAGTCAAACAATATTTGGAAGTGCATAGGTTCCCCATCCATGAGACAGATGCTGCTCAACACAGGCAGTTAATTGTGTGAAGTGACTCCCCACAGGGCTTAATCAGTTTCTTGCATGCCAGAAAGTTACCTCCTCTGAAAATGGAGTGACTAGCTGCTGTAGTTGAAACTGTGTGAACCACAGTACTGGGGACATATGGGGTTCTATTCAGCTAAGGTCTAAGTAGAGGGAGGAATTCAATGATGCACTACGCAAAGCACAAGCATTTCAGTTTGTCAGATGAAACAATCCTCCCTCTCCTCCTGCTGCATGCTATTCTAGGGGTTCTCTGGACCACCCCCTCGCCAGAGCCATTTTTGGGGTGATCAGAGGGAAAGTACAAGAGGTAATCCTTGTACAGGACTTCTGCTGACTGGTTCATTAGACATCTGTAGGCAGCCCTGTACAGTACAGGGAAGTTTCTGATGTTTGATGTTTTACTGTGTTTGATGTTTTAATTTTTTGAAAGTCGCCCAGAATGGCCCAGTCAGATGGGCGGCGTATTATTATTATTATTCCCACTGAAAAGAATGTCATTTAATTATGTCTATTAACTTGAATGGGTCTACTCTGAGTAGGATGTACATTGAATACAAACCATTGCTTCCAACACACAAGGGATCCGTGTGGTGCTTCATTCTGACAGCAATCGTGCTGTGAAAATAATGTCTAAAGCAGTCCAAAGATATTTAACTTTCTTCTTTTACTGACAAGTTGTTCCTGTGTCTACCAAGCCCAGCAGGAGCAACTTTTTCACAGCTTGATCAAGGCACCAGTTGATCCCTTAGCAATATCATCTTGAAATGTTGGAAAATGTCTCCTCCATCTTGAGCCAGGCGTACCATTATGCTCTCTCCTAATTTTACGCCAATCTTTTTCAAGTATATCAAGACATCCCAAAGCTCCATTTTTGCCAATATTCTTCATTTGACCTTTAAGGGTGAAAAGCTTCACTGCTGTTTTTTTAAAAAAATATATAGTTTCCTACAAGTTCACCTTCAAAACCCTTTCCCTTACCTTGCTTGTTCTACTACATTTTAAAGAGAAAAAGAAGAGAAAGCTTTGCTTCCGAATAAGATAGGCAGGTAGGTAGCAGGTGAAAAAAAGAAAGATAAAAGTGCTCTCCACCATGAATTAATCCCATGTTCATATTCCTTTTCTCACACTTTTCTTTAAATTGAAGCACTATTCTAACTAGTGTTTTCACTCAATTAAAATTGATCATATAATTTATACAGCACAAACCTATGTCTATTCACAAATAAGTTCCATTTTGTTCTATGCCATCCACTCTGAATTAAATGTGTAAAGGGCAACTCTATACAAGTGCATTGAAAAGCAAATCCCATTGATCTCAATGGAGCTAACTTCTGAGCAAGTGGGTGTAGGGTCACTCCCATCCTTACAGTTACAATCCCATATACAGTATGCCTGTTTCCAGGTAAGTGGATGTAGGGCTGCAGTCTTATCAGCCGACTACTCAGTTTAATTTGTATATGAGCAAAACAGACAATTGGAAGCAAACAATAAACTAAAACCGTACTTTTTGAGATAATATATGCTGTACATAAGATAGGATGCCTATTCCACGATAGTGCTTGCCATCTACCGTTTCTATCAGTAATTATTTAAAAAGTACTTCTTTTTTAAGTACAACCTTGTATTTTCTTGTATCTTACCGATAGGCTTTATTATGATTTAAATTTAAGTAAGCCACCTTGAGATGAGCGGAAGCCTCAGAAAGAAAAACGGTTAAGACACTTTATAAATACACTACACACCTAACCTCGCAAATAAGAATGTAAATTGAGCAGGGAGAATTGCTGACTGTACCACTTCAAAGCAGCAGATGTAAGGCCATGTTTCTGAATACTCCCCCGTCATAAAAAATAATTCCTGGATGTAAATAAATTAACACACCAAGGTGAGGAACTATGATAAAACTTTCTCCCTCGTGTGCTAGTTCAGTTCATGCAGGGCATTTGTTGGGGGGGGGTTGGTGAAGGGAATATAAAAGGTAACCCCCGCCAGAAGTGTGAAGTGGCTCTGTCCAAACTTCTACCAGCTCAGGGCTTGTTGTGGACCGAGCCGCCTCACAGGAAGAGGGAAGAGGCAGCTGGGTGGTTCTGTGTGGGCGAGGAGCAAAGGAACAAAATACAAGTAGTTGCCAAGGCACCACTTTCAAGCAAGCTCCCTCGTATTTGAGCTCAGCGCTCTGGCTGAAAAGGGCATTTCTCGTTTTCCCTTTCCAGGAGACAGCTAAAATGAGCCTAGGCTCCTTGTTCCAGTATATCTTCCTGACGGAGCAAAAAGTAGAGGGCATGCAACGTCTCATGCACCAAGGTTGGTGGCCACACCATCCTTGTGGAATTTGAAGCAAGCGCTTGCCATCTGGACACACGTTCAATGAACCAAATTAATCCCCTCGACCCAGCTAATGTGCTTGTGTTGTTTTGTTTTGTTTTAAATGCCTACCTCAATAATGGGTTACTCTGCGTAATAAGTGTTCACAGCACCCGAAAACGGGAATAGCGCCTGGACATTTTCTCTCACAGCTCCAGTTCTATGAATCCTAGACTTGAGCTTTTTAAATGAAAACTGAGAACCAGGGAATTATGGGGTTTTTTTGGGGGGGGGATGGGCTGTCCTCTCACCCCATCCTGGGGCATTCATGAGTTAACAGTAAAAATGCAAAATAGGCAATTTAAATGGTATGCAAAACACTATGGGGCTCACTTCTGAGTAAGTATAAACAACTTTGGATTGTGTCCCCTTCTCTGATTATCTTCTTTTGATTTTAGAGAAGTTGTGTGAGACTCTTACTGAGTGAAGTTGAGTGAAGCAAAACTCTGGGAAATGAGCTTTTTTATGGATAGCCACAAATAACTTCTAACTAGAACAGCTTACTGAGTTCAGATGAGGCTGTGTGATTCTTCTTGGCATTGACTTCAGACTTATTTCATTCCACTTTTACTTTGTATACCACCTTTCTGTATATGCACAAGGCAATTAAAAGCTGAAGAAACAACAAAATATACAGCAAACATCACTCACCTTAAAACAGTCTGATCCCATACAAATAAGTCATAATAAAATATGACTTTAAAATAAACAACTTGAATCAAATAATCAAATATTTAGTAATCAATTAGAATATACAATAGTACACAATAAAATTAACTCTCAGGCGGTATACATAATACATAAAAGAAACATGCAACCTTCAACTTCATAGTGAATTTCCCACTGTAAAATGCCCCTCACTAATGAAACTTTTGCAGCCCTATTTTTTACTTTTGCAGCAAATTTTATAATACTGCTTGCACAAACATCTTCTTTGTGTCTAAAAGTTCATTTTGTGTTGCAGTTAAACAGGAAATAACCCTAGCTAATGAAAGAGCTAAACAATTCACAGAACAACTGGATGGAGAAAAAAGAAAGTTGGAATCAGAGGTACAGAGGATAGCAATTAGAATGATAGATTAAAGAAAATTGGCCGTCTATGGTTTTTTAAACTTTGGGGGGTATTGCTTTTGTTTGTTTTGTTTATATTGTAAACAGTCCTGTGATCCCCGGATGAAAGGTGGTATTGAAATTTATTTATTTATTTATTTAATAATACTATGTCATTTTAGTGAAGAACATTTTGAGGGCAATTCAAACCAAATCTAGCAGCTGCCTGGTTTCTAGGACTGTCCGGAGTTCCCACTTGAAAAAAGCCCACAATGTTTCTACCCTGTTCAGTAGGCCTTTTTTGCTGAACACCACAAATCTGTAGGAAAAGCCAAATAGATATAATATGGAAAGACAGAATTTACAGAGCTGTGCAGAAGTATGTATTAGGTTGACATCACATAGAGTATTTTACGTGACCTCTGCCTCAGCAGTAAACCCAGGTCACAAAACAGGAGCCCCATTGTCCTTTCTGCCAGATTACACAATGACAGTCATTGTGTTGCTGCTTGTAAAACTTATTTATGACAATCATAATTCTATTTTCATGTCACTAATTTGCTATTGACTCATTCTAATTTACAGTTATGGTTTCCATGGTAGATACAGAGGGTTGTGAAAGTGAGGGAACAATTACTGTGAATTACTAATGAGGAAAACTGGAAAAGCGTTCCTAAAGCAATTAAAGCTTTAAACCCATAGAATTAATTACATGAAGGTCAATGCCTATTAACTTGCATGTTTAGTTAGTATCAGGTTTTTTTTAAGACTACACCTTATAAGTGTAGGAAAAGCCAATATGCATTGCCTTCACTGGATGAAATAAATACTGAACGCTATTAAAATTGGCATGACTTATCTCCCCCCCCCCCCCAGTACAGAAACATAACCTTATGCCAGTCGCTCTGGAGATCTCTAGTGTAATATATATTAAGCACTGAGCAATGATACTCACATAAGTTCCTTTTCCAAATTCCTATAAGTTTTACTCCACATTTTTATATGTCTAGGAATTTGCACAGTCTCATATCTGTAAATATAGGGGCACAGCAAAAAAACCAAAAAACCTCATGTAGCTGAACCTCAGAGTTCAAAGATGTTTTGACATCTATTTCACAGAGACTGCTTGTGGTCAAGGAAATGCTCCCAGGAAATATAAATTTTTGGTGTGTTCTGAAAAACTAGGTAGCATGTAATTAGAACTTGAATTATAGCATTTTGCCTTTCAAGGTTCAATGCTTCCTTTTCAAAAATGCTGTTCTAAAGACTATATTGAATAGGTAGTTTAGGGAGCAGTCCCATACTGAAGATCCACTGAATGGTCTGGCTGGCCAGCCAGAAAACCCCTTTCTCAGCAGCCAGTATTGCAGTGGGATGTGTTGGCTGAAGGAGAGCTCACTATCTCTTCTCTACCAGCTTACTCTTTATTTCCAATATTCCTGCAGAAAGGGGCAGCCACTTCATGAACAGTTGATTGCAGGAGCCTTAGAAGGCACAGATCGCTGTGTAGATATGTGCCTTCAATGACTCTTCTTGGGTGCAGAGGGTCTCCTGTATTGTTTTAAGTGGGCTCACTTCTGCTGCTCAGCAGAGAATGGAGGATGCCCATGCAAAGCAGCAAAAGAGCAGCTACATTATCCAGGGTACTACTAGCATTCTCCTCAGGCAGTGGTGTTAATTTTATCTTTTGCACAATATGGAGGAGTGACATACTCCATTCTGTGCTTAGTAGAAGAAGAAAGAGGTGCAAGTAAGGACAAGCCTATTCAAGGCTCATGCCTGCATGCCTGCATTGGTTGTACTTGCAACTATAAGATGCAAACAGGAGTGTTTGCCTAGTCATACTCACGACATCACTGATCTGGGTTATCCTCCTGAGGACTCAGATATTGGGAATAACTAAGGTGCCCACCCCCAAACCCTTCAGTGTGGCCTGAGGAAGTAAATTCTCAGTTACCAAGGTAAATAAGCAGACTCTTTGTAAGAATGGAGGGGTTGGTGGGAAGGGGAGGGGGAATGTCAAATGCAGGAAAGAGGAGAGCTCGCCATTAACTTGTGAACTTTCCATTTGTTAATTTGTAGTTATATAAACATGTACTCAGCAAACTTTAATCCTTTTTTAAAAGACCCAGCTTTGTTTTTTCGTTTTCTGCTATTTGAACATGCCTAATTACTATGCTGCTGTAAAGAATAAATGAAGGAAAGGGAGAAGAAAACTCTCCTGTGTTGCAATTCTTTTAGTATGGAGGTGCTTCTGAGTGTTTAGTCCTTGGTTGCAGTCACATGAGGAGGATATCGTAAGGGACGTTTGGGGGCACTGTATTCTTCTAGAGGTTAAAAGATTGGAAACTTTTAATTTAGATTCCCTGTTGTTCCCCATTGCTTTGGCTTCTGATGGTGGCAGCAATAATGCCAAGTTTGTATCAGTGGTGAGGGAACCCTTTGGTCAGGTAAAACTGAGCACCCATAACCTGATTTAGAAACAAATTCTAAATTTAGAAACAATTTTAGAAACAAAACCTATGTAGTGGTTAGGTCATAGCTGTCCAGACAGAACCTGGTGGGCCTACAAGTGTGCCTGCACAACCCTAACCTCTTTGCCACCCTGCCCTATCCCAATGCTGTCTTTGGTGAGAGTGACTCCATGGTGCTGCTCCTTGAAACCAGCCACTACTGCTTATGTATGGTTAATTAAATCACAGAACAGTATAAAGAATACAGTTTCTGAAGACCTCACATTGCTAGAGTTCTCATGCAAAAGGCCCTGCATATGTAAAATAACTTTGTATAACTACAGCTGCACTCAGGGTTTTTTAAATGACTCTTTTTAAAAAATTTGTTTTTTTGTTTTGTTTTTTACAGGCTCAGTTGCTATCTGGAAAGCTATTAGACTTGGAGCTTTTGAAGAAAAGAGAAGAGGGCTTAGAAAGCCAGAAAGCTGAACTTCTTAATCAGAAGAGTATTTTGCTTGAAACATTTGTATGTTCTCAGTGAGACTGTTCTAGATCAGAAATCTTCAACCTTTTGATACCCAGCATTAGCTAAATTGTACATGAGCTGATATTTGAACACAAAAGGCCCAGGATCTTTGTCCCCAGTCCAGCTCAGGGTTTGTTCGTTCTGAATATGACCTGTTGAAAGCAGCGGAACAAGTTCATTGTAACAAAGTTCTCCCATAGCTTTCAGTGGGTTTTGGCGATAACTAGCTGAACAATCCAAACCTCTGTAGTGGCCCAACCATATACATTCTCAGCCTCATTCCTTAGGCCCTCTGGGCCAGAAGGTAAACAGCAGGCAAAAATGTTCTCTGAGCTGAGTCAGCCTGCAGCTGGTGTACTGATTGGATCCACATTGGTGCTGCCAACTGACAGCACTGGTGCTGGATCAAGATCTAGCAGACCCCAGGCTGGCTCAGCTCCACCATACCTCTGGAATGGGGGCTTTCCAAAGGGCTACTGTTAGAAGGAGTCCTGCCTGACAGCCTTTTCAGTGGGCAGAATGAGGAGATCCATGCACACAAAGTGATACCAGGAATGCAGATGACCTCAAAGAACTCACCTTTTTCAATTTCTTGAGATTTGTCAGGAGTTATTAATATTTACTAACTAAGGATTTGGTCCAAGCAGGACTAAGCCCAATGCAGCCCAATGAGACTGACTCAGTGAGTAGATATGTATAAGTTTCCACTGTTAAATTTCAAATATCTTCTTAACATTAAACATCTATTTCTTTTCAATCAGAAAGCAGCTTGCTTTACACCTTTTCGGCCCTTCTTCATCACAAGAGGCCCAAACCTCCATTTGCAATCTGTAAAATGAAGCTTCTAGCAGCTCTTTGCTCTCTGGCAACTTTCAGGGCCAGTATGGCTGTGTCAAAAAAAACACACCAAGCACTTCACAGAAATCAATGCACTGTCTTCATGCCATATATGTTACAAATAATAATAATAAGGGAATCCAAAAATTCATGTTTTGATTAGTCATGTGCTTCTTGCAAGAGTCTCCTGAACACCGTGTGTTATCTTACATGGGATGACCACCTCATAACACCACCTGATTGGCAGGAGCAGCTGAGATCATAACAGAATGAGCTTTTCAGACCATGTTGGTGGAAGGCAAGACAAATACCTTACATTAAGTATGCTTAATTATAGAAAAAGTTCACAGACAGGAACATGACACTGAAATATTCAGATAAAGGCATTATTGGAGGGAGACTTCAGAGTCTTCAAGCCCTGCATAAGCGAACACGTTATAGTAGATCTTAGGAAAATGCATGTTTCATTCATTGCCATAGCACGTTCAGAGTGAATATTTACAACATCTGTGTTCACAAAAAAATCTTTGTGAATGAAGAAGTTCCTGTATTTCCTGTAGTCAAATCGAACATCAAACATATGTCTTTAATCAAACATACATTGGGCATTAGAATTTTTGTTGCTATTGGTGGTTTTGTTTGTAATTGAAATCTGTGCTTTATTTTATATTGTTTTGATTTTATTGTTTAATGTGGTTTACATTTTGCATATTTGCACCCTGGGTTGATTCTAAATACTTAGAATAAATAACAGGTAGTCTTTTACATGTCTCTAAACATATATTCATATATAATTTTCATATATAGTATTCATATATAGTTTTCTATTGTATTTTAACAAAGTCTTCTTTCTTTCTTTTGTTCTTTATTTTTTGTGTTACTTTATTTTATGTCATCATTAGATGGGTACAAAGAAAAAAATTGCCATAGAAGATGAGAGATTTTTGAAGGAAATTACAGAGTTCAACAGTGAATATGGGTTAACATCCAAAAGGGAGCTTTTAATTAAAAAAAGAGTCAAGGCTGAAATATGTGAATTAGGGGAAAAAGAAAATGTTTTGAGAAATGGTATGTCTTGAATTTAATTATTTTATCTTGGACTATCTGAGAATATAAATGACTATGTTGCAGTTCCATGACACTACAATTTCACAATTTTCTTCCAAGCTGAAAAGTCGTATTAAATTGTAAGGTAATGATTTTCCTAGAGTGAAGAACAGCATGCTATACTGGAGCACCAAGCATGTTCCTTGTTGCAGGGAACATTAACTGCATGGTACTCTAACATATTAAGATTGCTGAACACGACAGGAGGTCAGAGATAAGACTCTTACCTGTCCTTGCCCCAGTCGCAATCCCATCCATGAGTCACTGCTAAAGATTGAAGAGAATAGTTGTATACAGTTTTCTGTTTTTCACTACTAAACATCAGACGTTGCAAATATTTATTGCAAGCCAGTTTGAGCTTTAGCTAGCATAGATAACACTGAATTAAAAATGCCTTTGCATTTTTCATCCATGAACTGTAATTACATGTGTTGCTAGCAAATCAAAAGCTTAACTTCTATAGTTTATCTTTTCTAACAAATGCACAAAATACTGTGTTCCCCCCAAGACTACGTCTTCTCCTTCTACATTATAATACTCTGCCTGTCCTCACATATGAGACCAAGGCAGCAAACAATCACAAAAATACAGTAGTAGAATCTGCCACTGTTGTTGCTTTGGGAGCTGCTGCCAAATCTATTCCTGCAATTCAAAAGCCACTGTAACTGCTTAGCCCCCTGTAGCTGATCATTGCTTCCTTAAGCAAGAGTATGTGACAGTATGCAGCCAGTAAGATACTACTTTGGAAATTATATTACATGTCACATTGCTCAAGGCAATGAAATATGGAACATGCACACACTGCATTATGGCCCAATTAGATCCCTAGCTTGCAGGGGCCAGGCCTTGCATCAGTCCTGCCCCTCATTTGCCCAGGGGCCCCCAGATACCTGGTTCACACCACATCAAGGTCTAATGATGGCCAACACATATTAGTTGCTTCACAACTGACTGATGGCAACCAGCATTTCAACAACAAAGACTGATGGAAAAAACACCACATTCTACTGCTATGCCAGCCCCACTTACTTGCTGTAAACCAAGTAAAGTTGTATTTCAGCTGACAAACACAACATGTTCCCCCCCTACACTAAGAAGCTGCAACGTCACACATAACTGGATATAATTAGAAACACATATAAAATTAACCGAGACAAAGAGCAAAGACAAAACACTCCAGAAGTATGGGAAAGGATTTAGCCAACACATTTCACAAAAATGTGAACAAATTTATAAGATATGGGTTAAAAAAAATATAAATTAGCATTTCCCTGTTTTTAACACCTGCAACACCTAGCAGTATATGCAGTGGGGCAGTTAATATATGTTGAAGGTGTGGAGCATCGAACACTGTTATGCTTCATAGTGATATTCATGAACTGAAATGTGATATTCAGGAAGACTATAATAGATGAAATTAAACTCATAGCAGGGTATGGTTTGATGGTAGACCCATTGGTTGTATTGTCTGGATATGTTAAGGCTATGATTTTTTCCCGTGGATACGGAATTGGTAACACATTTGTTAACAGTTGCTCATATAGATATGTTATAATGGGTGGGAGGACACTTATCTCTGTGTTAGAAGAATCGCTAGTAAGAGTTTGGGAACTGACTCATCTGATAAAATTAGCTAATGTTGTAAGAGTGAGGGCAGGCAGACAACTTGATAAATTATTTACTGAGAATTGGAGCAGCGTTATTATGTATTGGTGTAACAGAACTCAAGAAAATATTCAACCATACGTATTATTGGAAAGAATCTACATAACAATAATTGTTATGCTTCTGTTTTGACCAACTTTGCCTTTTAAAAAAATGTATTTTTAATGTAATGATTTAACAAAAAATGCAAGTAGCATTTTTGAAGAACTTTGGTTCAGTCCATTAATGCATTGCATAGATGCTCCTAAAGAACTACCCTTTCCCAACAGTACTAGGTACAATACAAACACTGTAATTCTCACCCATTCAGAGTCATAATCTTTATTTAAGATGCTTAGACACTCACAGGATCATTGTGCTATTATACAAAAAAACTGTTGAATCACTCGCCATTGTTCTCCAACAGTAAAACATTTCCCCCCTGTTGGATTGTGCCAATGTAGAACAATGTATCACAATTTGCCAGGCTCTCGTGGAATTTATTGGATTATGGTAACACAGTTCACCTGATGATTTTATCTTGCCTTCTTAGTACAAGGTACTCAAGAATTCAAGAAGCTTTAGAAGGAAAGAATGAGAACCAGCAGTAGTTAATACAACATTGAACAGAGTTCAAACTGTGCTATTAGCTCCTGAACAAATAGAAAGCTGTTAGCTCTCCAACAAAACACATAAACTACAGTGATTGTATACTGCACAGCTGTTGCCATCATACAAATAAATTTTGTTAGCTTTGCTTGCATTTGCAGCTCTTACTTTTGACAAACAGTATGTTGAGTAATTTTGTTGTTGTTGATAATAAATACCCAAGTTTCTAATAAACTAAAAAAGACATGTTCACACTTAGGACCAAATTAAATTTATACATTATATTCTGCCTTTCCACACAAATAGAGCCCAAGCCAGCTGGTAACACCAACACCAACAGAGGTCTAATGGTATCTGTCCACCACTGGAATGAACACCATTGGCAGAATGAATTCCCCTCCCCCCCTGAAGCTACCATGCCCCCACCCAGTATATTTCCAAAATCTCCAGAGAGTTAGGAGGCTCTCTGGAGAAGAATTTTTTGTTGCTGGGCAGAGGGCTACAGTAGAGAGGAGGAGAATTCCACTTGCATGACATTGGATGTCATCCAGAATTACCAAAATTTCATCCAGAAATTTGCATGACATTGGATGTCATCCAGAATTACCAAAAGTGCAATAGGTAAAACTTACATATGTCAGTCACTACATAAGAGGTATTATTACATAAGGGATTATTAAATGCGCATAGCCTATATATATATGGTTACATATGTAATTATTTTTTCAAAACATCTTGAGAAGAGTTGCAACAGAATTTTTTGGTTATGTGGTGAAACTTAAAATCTTTAACCTAATTTGAAAATTATCACTTTCTTAGAAATAGAGTCAATGAAACATGAAAATTCTCAGTTAAAAATGTTTCAGCTGCAGAAGAATGAACTGAAGAAGGATTTGTGTACTTTTCAGAGAAAACTCAAAGGTATATTGTTCACTTGATCACCACCTGATTTGATGTTCAGACATAGTGTGAGTACATTTGATAAATGATTCTGATCAAAAAACATTCAACAACAGATGAATGTTTATATCTATATCATGGACTTAATAGTTTTTAAGTTAATATTAATCAAGGCATTAATGAACAAATAATTTAAAGAATATGAATTTAAAACATTTTCTGCCCTTCTTTGCAGCTTTAGCAATTCAGACTGCATTGGATCCAAGGCTTTGTTTAAAAATAATACAGTCATAGAATTGTAGCATTGGAAGGACCCCCAAGGGTCATCTAGTCCAACTGCCTATAATGCAGGAATCATTCCACATCCTATACTGTATCTTGTGCAATAGGACCTGCTACACCAAGTCCCACTATTGAAGCTTTGGCTTTCATGCATTTCTCCCATGCACCTGCATATCATTTTTTGTATTCCAGCCTTTAGTATTCACGTGCTTTTGATATATGATCGCATATTCTTGTAAGAATGGGAATGACTTAAATACAGCTGAATGTTTTTTATGTCATAAAACTATAATCCAAATTTTTCATTCTAATAATAGGTTCTTTTAATGTGCAGCAAAACAACTGAGAAACATAGAAAGTTGCCTTAGACTAAGGCAGATCATTAGTCCATCTGGCTCAGTATTGACTGAGTTGACTGGCAGTTCCTCCTCAGGGTTTTGGACAGGGTTCTCTCCCATCCTTAGCTGGAGATACCAAGGACTGAAAGCAGGACCTTCAGTATGTGCTCAGCTGCATACACACTCAACTACAGCCTTTCCTTACAGTTTCCATTATATAATAAAGTACTGTATTATAAAATCATAATAGAAAGGTATTGTTTCTTTTTCAGATCTTGAAGAAGAAATAAGAGAAGCTAAAAACACCACAAAGTGTTTAGAAACAGAAAAAAATAAAATTTCTGAAAAACCGCAGACCGATCCAGAATGTGCAAGGTAAAGGTATCCTGCCAAAATGCATAGATCTGAGATGAATTTTGTTTTAGCTAACATGCGTTCATAATGAAGCAAAATAACAACATGAATCTGGTTGATATGGCGTGTGTGTTTATGTAAGTGACTGTATGGGAGGAAGCATCATGGAGAGCAAAAGGAGGCTCAGTCATTCCCTAAACCTGGCACCTTTTCCATAGGGAATGAAGAATTTTAAAGGGGTAAAGCAAAGGAGATCTGCCAAGCCCCTTTCCTTCTCCTCAAGTGGAGTTGAAGCATGAACAAAATCTTCTAAATGAAATGTTTTGCTTCAGAATTTGTGTGTAGGAGCAAAACTGTATGTATGAAACATACATCAAAAGGGGACTTTAAATGATAATACTAGTTGCAGATCCATAAGCTGATGTGGTACAGCACACTACAGCTTGCTTTTGCATTATTTATTCTATTATGGTACATTAGCTTTTCTGATGTACGAGGTTGTCATCTTCCTTCTGAATAATACACTTCTCCTGGAGTATCTTGCTATTGCAGTGTCATTTAACATTCAATACAGCATGATTAGGAAAGGGGTGTTTACTATGAATATAAACGTGCTGAAGATCAAGGTTAGTTAGTGTCCATGGGCTTGCAAATGACTTACAGCACAATCCTTTGCATGTCTACTCGAAGTAAGTTCCCTTTAGGGAAGGGCAGTAACCCAGTGTAGAGCATGAGCCTTGCATGCAAGAGATCCCATGTTCAGTTCCAGCATATCCAGGTAGAGCTGGGGAAAACTCTTGACTGAAATCCTGGAGAGCCTCAGCCAATCAGCTAGATGAACCAATGGTCTGACTCAGCTTAAAACACCTTCCTGTATTCCTAAGGTAAGTGGGTGCAGAATTATAATCTTATTTGAATCAGTAAGATATTTAAATAGTGCAAGGTATGTTTGTTTTTTAACAATTGAAAAAAGTGTTGATGTTTATATGAAAAGTAATGCAATGAAGTTCTGCAATTTGCTGAATATGATGCAAAGCAATTATAAAGAATTGTCAAGAATTATTGATAAATATAGTTACTTATTTTGCAAGTCATATGATGAACACCAGAAGACAAAGTGCTACTACCACATCAAAGATTGCACTTTTGGGAAATCTGCCATTTTACACCTTGGGCTTACTTCAGAGGCAGAACTGGATGAATGCACCATTATTCAAGATTTTACACATGTATATTGTATTTCCTTAATCTAAGATTGAAGCATCAGTATGCACCTCCTTACCCAAGCCCTTCAAAGGTCTGTGAAGGTGTTTAATTTAAGCCCTATTGATTTCAATTAAAATGCTCCTGCCTTGGTACTGAATAGCATAAAGGCAAGTAGGCAATGATTGTCCCACTCAACAAAATTCAGTTAGACTATGACTGCTCACATTTTATTTTGTAGGGATTGAATAAAGGAACAGCATTAATAATTGTAGATAACATATCACAACAAAGATAAACACGATACCAGTTTATTATTTCTGGGTTCCCCATATTCTCCACTGAACTTGGTCATCTATGGCAGTATTACCCAAATCTTGATACCTTTTCAGCAAAGGCCTCTTCCTGTATTCAAACAGGAAGTACCCTTAACACAAAAAGATAGATGCTTAGTCAACAGTTCATAGAGCAGTGAGAAGATATCCATGTAACTGTGGGATAAGTAAAGGTAAAGGGACCCCTGACAGTTAGGTCCAGTCGTGACCAACTCTGGGGTTGCGGCGCTCATCTCACTTTATTGGCCGAGGGAGCCGGCGTACAGCTTCTGGGTCATGTGGCCAGCATGACTAAGCCGCTTCTGGCGAACCAGAGCAGTGCACGGAAACGCCGTTTACCTTCCCACCGGAGCGGTACCTATTTATCTACTTGCACTTTGATGTGCTTTTGAACTGCTAGGTTGGCAGGAGCAGGGACCAAGCAACGGGAGCTCACCCCGTCACGGGGATTTGAACCACCGACCTTCTGATCGGCAAGTCCTAGGCTCTGTGGTTTAACCCACAGCACCACCCACGTCCCATAACTGTGGGATAGCCTGTTACTAATAGGAATGTTTTGACATTCGTTTTTCACCACCATTAAGGGCTCAGGGATTAAACCTTATTTTCTGGGCAATGGTGATGTTCCTGACCTGCATGCAAGAGCTGTATACAGGAGTGAACTGTGCTTCTTCCTGCCTTTTCAAACTGCACATACAGACTAGAAATCAAATAATGATTACCTCTTTCTCTTTGCACCTTCCCCTGAGCTTCAGGAAAACTGTCCACTTAGGATCTTTTACAAAGCCCCTTACATACTTACCTGGATTTAAAGTGAATTGTTAAGCATTTTAAAACCCAGGCATTTTTTGGCACTTGAAAATCTGCTTAGAGAAGGAGGTGTGTGTGACTGCATGGTTGACATAAGGGTCAGCCAGTGAGTGTTGTGTTCTGCTCTGATCCTCTGGATGCTGTGCAAAGCATTGGGTTTCTTGTAAACTCAGTTTGAGAAAGAAGAGCATTCAAGCATCTCAAAGGGGCATAGAATAGTGCAGGGGTAGGCTACCTCCATCTCAGAAGCCAGTGTAGACCCAAAACCACACCCACTTGTCAAATCAGCTGACACCAGTTGGTGACATCCATTAATGGACAGGAGGTAGGGTTTATTTGTGCACTGGCTGCACTGACCCATACAGCAGGATTTAATCCCCAATTGCCAGTTGAAACGGGGGTTGGGGGGGGAAGCGATGACTTTGTTTTAGCCACAGTTTAATGCAGACCCCTTCCTGAATTAGGAAGGGGGTCGTCTTGAAATCCCTGCGAAAATAAACATACTAGGAAGGCCTTTTATCCTGTACACTGCATGCCAAGGTTGGTGGTGGTGGAGAAGAAACCTTTCTTTTTCCAGTAGCTGTGGGACTGGGTAAATTGAAGTTAAAGGAAAAGCGTGGGTGGCGATGCGGTCTAAACCACAGAGCCTAGGGCTTGCCGATCAGAAGGCCGGCGGTTCGAATCCGCGCAATGGGGTGAGCTCCCGTTGCTTGGTCCCTGCTCCTGACAACCTAGCAGTTCAAAAGCACGTCAAAGTGCAAGTAAATAAATAGGTACCGCTCTGGCGGGAAGGTATACGGCATTTCCATGCGCCGCTCTGGTTCGCCAGAAACGGCTTAGTCATGCCGGCCACATGACCGAGAAGCTGTCTGCGGAAAAACGCCGGCTCCTGCAGCCAGTAAAGCTAAATGAGGGCCACAAGCCCCATAGTCATCTGTGACTGGACCTAATGGTCAGGGGTCCCTTCACCTTTACCTAAGATGAAGTTTGGATGGATGTTGGCTTGCTGGCACTTGTGGAGTGGGCTATGCTGGTAATTCTTCTGTGGCTTGAATTTTAATTCAGGAGGCAAGTATAACAACTAGTTGAAGAACTGAACCTGGTGTGTTTCATGCAACATCTCTAGATTAAGAAAGTAATCTTACAGATAATACCTCCTAACATGCACCAAGAGTTGCTATTATTTAGTTAGCTTTGATTACTTTTTGATGCGTAGAGGTAGTTTCCAGAAGAAAAAGGATTTCGGTTGGACTTTCAAAATGATAAGCTGCTTTGCATTATGTATCTCTTAACACTGAATGAAAGAGGCACAACATCAATAGACCTGACAAGAAGACAATTCAGCAGGAAAATAACACACTTCCATAGGAGTTGGTTGATGATTAAATTGTTCGATTTTTTTTAATTGTTTCTTTTTTGAGGATAATACACACTTTGGAATCTTGTTGGAGACAGAACTAATTAAATATAGAACAGCTTAGTTTAGTTTCAAAGTGTGGTTAATGAAACTGCCTCACTAACATGACTGCTGTGCAGCCAAGACCAGATGAATTATTATTATTATTATTATTACTATTATTTAGTAATTTCACGGGATTGTACAGTCTTGAGGGTGGACAAATACCACACCTTTCACGTGGGAGTACTTCCAATTTGATGTAGTTTATTTCTTTTTTTAACTATAGAAATTCCTCTGGGAATTATGTTACCATTTAGTGTTGTTCCATTGGGCAGTCTGCTAAGCCTTGGAAAATGAGGGCCAGCCAGGCTGCTGAACACAGCCAAGCCACTGTTTAGAGCATCGCCCACAACTTAGCTTTGTCTGAAGAAGGGCTGTGGAACTTGATCTGGCCAATGGGCCAGATTCAGAAGTCCCCCACCTCTCACAAGTTTCTTGGACATCATACCAATTCAGGCTGTGGCTGCAACAAAAAAATTGGGATAGCTGTCTTAAGCACGCTCTTGATTCTTTTCATCTATAATTCACCCCTTTTTTTTCAATTAGGCAGCTTTTTCTGTTGCCTCAAGACCAGTGATGTTTGTCACCAGTAGAGATGTTTTAGTCTTCTTCATCCTGGGAGAAGGCAACAGAAAAAAGCACCAAATTCTACCATCAGCTGGACTTAAGATTGTACTCCCAGTTGTTCTTTTTCAGTTTAACATGTGGGATGTTAGGTGATGGGAAGAAACCTTGCTGCAGCTGTCCCAGTAGGAGAAGGCTGTGACACCTCTACTGACAAACCTCTCTGGCGCATCAGAGCCAGTGCTCACCAGCATACGGTACATAGTATGTAGGTGGTAGCTGTAACAAAGATACGAAACAAGCAGGTCAGGTACCATGCTTATTCCTAGCCGTCTAGTCTGCAAAGCATTCAATAAAAGGTTGTCAAGTGAGGTAAGAGTGGTCTAGGACAAAGATAATAATAGGACTTGAGCATATGCAGTACATGTGATCTACGTCTGAGCTGAAACCCCTTCTTTTACTAATTTTGTAACTAAATAAAGAAAGCAAAAATGTTGTATCATCTTGAAGAGAGAGAATGATGTTTATTGAAGACCTGGCAGCTTGAGGAGCCTTTGAATTAACAGTGACTCAGCCATCTTTGCTGTCAAGAGTCTTTCCAGGATCTAACTGTGCAGACTGAGGTCTTTGCACTCCAGCTACTTTTCCTG